CTCACATGGCAGTTAATGTGTTAAGTATATCATCCTGCTCCTTTGGCCTGAAAGGTTTCTGTTGAGCAATCTGCTGGAATAGTCTTATGGAGGTTCCCTTATATATGATGATTCACTTTTCTCTTGTCGCTTTCAACACTCTCATTGTCTTTAACTTTTGACAGTTTGATTAAGGTGTGTCTTGGTGTGGATTTCTTTGGATTCATCTTATTTGGTGTCTTTTGAGCTTCCTGGATGTGGCTTTCTATTTCCTTCCCCCGGCTTGGGAAGTTTTCTGCCATTATTTTTTTGAGTATGTTCTCTGTCCTTTTCTCTCTCTTCTCCTGGCAGGATAATAACGTGTAAGTTGTTTTGCTTGATGGTGTCCAATAAATCTCTTAAGCTATCTTTACTCTTTTTCATTCTTTTTTTCTTTTTTGAGACAGAGCCTTATTCTTTTGTCCTTGGTACAAAAGGACAGTGGCATCATTATAGCTCACTGCAACCTCAAACTCCTGGGCTCAAGCAATCCTCTTGCCTCAGCCTCCCAAATAGCTGGGACTACAGGTGTGTGCCATGATGCCTGGGTAATTTTTCTATTTTTAGTAGAGACAGGGTCTCGCTCTTGCTCAGGCTGGTCTCAAACTCCTGAACTCAAGCAATCCTACTGCCTCTGTCTCCCAGAGTGCTAGGATTACAGTCGTGAGCCACTGTGCTGGGCCTCATTCTTTTTTCTTTTTGCTCCTTGAATTGGATGATTTCCAGTGACTTGTCTTCATGTTCACTGATCCTTTTCTTCTGCGTGATCTAGTCTGCTGTTGAACCCCTCTATTGAATTTCTCATTTCAGTTATAGTATTTTTCACATTTTTGTTTCAGTTTGGTGCTTTTTATACTTTCTGTCCATTGAAGTTCTCAGTTTGTTCTTCCATTGCTCTCCTGACCTCAGTGGACAGACATCTTTATGACCATTATTTTGAATTCCCTATTGGGTAGATCACATATCTCCAATTCACTCAGCTTGGTTTTACTTGGAATTTGTTTTCCTCTTTCTTCCTTTTCTTTAACTTGCTGTGTTAATTTCTGTACATTAGATAAGACAGCTGCCTCTTCCAGTCTTGTCAGACTGGCTTTGTGTAGGAGAAGGATTTCACCAATCCATCCAGCCCAGGATTTTAAGGTGCCTCTCAAATCTTTCCATTTGTCCTGACTGCTGTCTCTATTTTTGGTGGCTTCATGGAGATTAGGGTGTGCCATGTCCGGTCAGTTCTCCGTGATCAGTAAGGTGGAAGCCAACCCTCTAGATGTAGCTGGAAAGGTTGACGTGTTGGATGTATGTCGTTCCTTCTGTCCTGTTTTTAAAGCTGAGTGCCTGATTCTCTGGCTCTGTGGCAAATGCCTATACTGGTGTTCAGGCTACCCCATGATCCTTGGGAGATAGTTGCTGGAAGCAGGCCTGTTGTATATCCACCTTTTTGTTTTGTGTGGTCTAGGGAGAGTCAGGAATGCAAAACCTCATCAACTTCCAAAGCTAGGATGTTAAGGATACAATCGTTATAGAAATTGTGGCACTTTGTACATGGATAAACTCCTTTTAGGAAGAATGGGTAGACCTGGATTTATCAGTAAGTGAGTGGAAGAAAGGCTTGGGATGTGCCAAGTTCCTGCTCAGGTTGCCTGAGGGCTACTGTTTGTTCCTGGATGCAAGTTACTTAGAGGCCAGGCTGTCAGGTGGCCACTGGAAAATTGTGCT